AAATGTAACTGAAAACAAGCTAAAATCCAAGTCATTTTTATTTTTAAAAAAGCAGATTAGGTTAGGGTATAAGGAGGGATGAAAGGCAGAGCAAAGAGAATTTTTAGGACAGTGAAAATACTCCATATTATAATAGTGGAGATACATATTATAAAGTAATCCAAAAGCAAAACAACTCCAAGAGTAAACCCTAATGTAAAACTATGGACACTAAGTTATGATGATGTTCATCCAATTTAGCAAATGTACTACTCTGGCAGGGGATGCTGATAATGGGGGAAGCAGGTGGGGACAGAGGATTTACAGGAGATGCAAAGGCAAACGCCTGTCCTGTGACAGCACTCTTCTCCTTCCACTCAATTTTGCCGTGAATCTAAGACTTCTCTAAAAAATAAAGTCTATTAAGGGGCACCTGGGTGGCTCAGTCACTAAGCGTCTGCCTTCAGCTCAGGTCATGATCCCAGGGTCCTGGGATCGAGCCCCACATCAGGCTCCCTGCTCAGCGGGAGCCTGCTTCTCCCTTTCCCACTCCTCCTGCTTGGTTCCCACTCTCACTGTCTCTATCTTTGTCAAATAAATAAATAAAATCTTTAAAAATAAATAAATAGATAAAAATTAAAAATAAAGTCTATTAAGTGGAGGGGGGAGCAGATCAGAAAAACTACAAATCGTTGCTATATGTAGGAGACTCGTTTTCTTTTTTAAAAAACTGTATACAGCATTTATAATTAGCAGGTCTGAATAAACTAAAAACTACATGACAAAGCTAGCATGATAATTTAGCGTTGGATTTATATTTGAAATACTTTTCTATCAGTATCCTACTGAGACCCCTTTGCAGCATTGTTAAGTGTTATCTCCTAACACCTTCAGGGAGCTTGTTTAAATAAAATGTATTCACACACCCCTTCTGTTCATATATGCCATCCCTTCTAGACACAAATTATTTATCCTCCTCAAAAGTCTATATTGATTGTCTACTCTCAATAGTACATTTAGGAGATATTAAAAATCCTAACACTCAAGATACCTTCCTCTGAGATCTTACAATCCAATCCTGGGAAAAGATCAAAATGTCCAAGGAAGACTACTCCAAGTAGTCAAGTGGTAAACACACTAAACCAGTCTGTCCTTCTGTTTTCCTTCACAGAATGCTTTTCTCCAGACTGGACCCTCCTCATCTTTCAAATCTCAGTATAAATGCTACCCCCCCAGAAATCTTTCCTGACACCATCCTGCGATCTTCTGTCACAGCGCCCCATTCCTTTGCTTCACTGCTGGTTTGTTGTTTGTTTTCCATTCTGTAATTACACATTTGGTTGCTGGTTTATAATATGCAGCCAATAACAGACTGAACATCCCTAAGCAGGGGCAAATTCCACTTTATTATCAAGAATTTGCAAAGCATTCGATAAACACTGGTTAAATGAAAGCACAGGTCTGGGGCTCAGGACAAAGGGCTGGGCTAGAAGTACTGGGGTAGAGGTGGTAATTTTACCCATGACAATTTACCTATTATCACCTGTGGAAAATGTGGGGGTTGTCAAGGGAAGAGAATCTAGAATCAGGAGCTGAGGAAGCCCAACATTCAGAGTCTGAGTAGAACTGGCCGAGAAGACTAGGCCAGACAAGTCAGATAAACCACAGGGAAGCCAGAGACACACAGTGTTTCAAGAAGTCAGTATTCTCCCCCTGCCTGTGTTCTCTCACTCTCTCCGTCAAATAAATAAATAAAATCTTTGAAAAAGGCGGGGGGGGGGGGCGCCTGGGTGGCTCAGTCCGTTGAGAGTCTGCCTTCAGCTCAGGTCATGATCTCAGGGTCCTGGGATGGAGCCCCGCGTCACGCTCCCTGCTCAGTGGGAGTCTGCTTCTCCCTCTGCCTCTCCCCCTGCTTGTGCTCTAGCTCACTCACTCTCTCTCTCCAATAAATAAATAAAATCTTAAAAAAATAATAAAAATAAATTTTAAAAAAGAGGTCAGTATTCAAGTGCAAAATGCTGCCAAGAGGTCTAGTAAAAAGTGAACAGAAGGGCGCCTGGGTGGCTTAGATGGTTGAGCGTCTGCCTTCAGCTCAGGTCATGATCTCAGGGTCCTGGGATCGGGCCCCACGTTAGGCTCCCTGCTCAGCGGGGAGCCTGCTTCTCCCTCTGCCTCTCCCCTGCTTGTGCTCTAGCTCACTCACTCTCTCTCTCCAATAGATAAATAAAATCTTAAAAAAATAATAAAAATAAATTTAAAAAAAGAGGTCAGTATTCAAGTGCAAAATGCTGTCAAGAGGTCTAGTAAGAAGTGAACAGAAAAGGATCCCCTGGGTTTCATCTGAGGGAGGTTACCGGTGACTCTCATCATGACAGCCCTGTCAGGGGAGTGTCGGATGTGATGACAAACTGCTGAGCTCTTCCCAGGTGAGGAAGCAGACGCACTATCTAAGGGTTAAAACTGTGGAAGGCAGGGCGCCTGAGTGGCTCAGTCGGGGTTAAGCGACTGCCTTCGGCTCAGGTCATGATCCTGGAGTCCCGGGATCGAGTCCCGCATCGGGCTCCCCGCTCAGCAGGGGGCCTGCTTCTCCCTCTGACCCTCCTCCCTCTCATGCTCTCTGTCTCTCATTCTCTCTGTCTCAAATAAATAAATAAAATCTTTAAAAAAATAAATAAATAAAATAAAATATTTCTTAAAATACAACATGAAGGAAGGAGGGAAGGAAGGAAAGAAGGATTCCTATCTATAACTAATAGCAAAGAGTACCTCTAATCACTGGGCGGGTGGGGGGGGGAGGCAAATACAGTGAAAAGAGAGGAAGATATGCTTAGAATTTATCAAAATGGCAAGAAGGTATTCTATTTAGCTATTAAATTATTTCTCAGCCCTTTAAGTCTGTATCCATGGAGTTGATTTCTATGCTGTTCATTACTGCAACTGAGGAAAATAAAAACCCGGGGCGCCTGGGTGGCTCAGTTGGTTAAGCGACTGCCTTCGGCTCAGGTCATGGTCCTGGAGTCCCGGGATCGAGTCCCGCATCGGGCTCCCTGCTCGGCGGGGAGTCTGCTTCTCCCTCTGACCCTCCTCCCTCTCATGCTCTCTGTCTCTCATTCTCTCTGTCTCAAATAAATAAATAAAATCTTTAAAAAAATAAATAAATAAAATAAAATATTTCTTAAAATACAACATGAAGGAAGGAGGGAAGGAAGGAAAGAAGGATTCCTATCTATAACTAATAGCAAAGAGTACCTCTAATCACTGGGCGGGTGGGGGGGGGAGGCAAATACAGTGAAAAGAGAGGAAGATATGCTTAGAATTTATCAAAATGGCAAGAAGGTATTCTATTTAGCTATTAAATTATTTCTCAGCCCTTTAAGTCTGTATCCATGGAGTTGATTTCTATGCTGTTCATTACTGCAACTGAGGAAAATAAAAACCCGGGGCGCCTGGGTGGCTCAGTTGGTTAAGCGACTGCCTTCGGCTCAGGTCATGATCCTGGAGTCCCGGGATCGAGTCCCGCATCGGGCTCCCTGCTCGGCAGGGAGTCTGCTTCTCCCTCTGACCCTCCCCCCACTTGCGCGCTCTCTCTCTCTCTCCCAAGTGAATAAATGAAATATTAAAAAATAAAATAAAATGGGGCGCCTGGGTGGCTCAGTCGGTTGAGCGACTGCCTTCGGCTCAGGTCATGATCCTGGAGTCCTGGGATCGAGTCCTGCATCGGGCTCCCTGCTCAGTGGGAAGCCTGCTTCTCCCTCTGACCCTCCTCCCTCTCATGTGCTCTCTCTCATTCTCTCTCTCAAATAAATAAATAAAATCTTTTAAAAAAAAAAGATAGATTTAGGGGCGCCTGGGTGGCTCAGTCGGTTAAGCGACTGCCTTCGGCTCAGGTCATGATCCTGGAGTCGCGGGATCGAGTCCCGCATCGGGCTCCCTGCTCGGCGGGGAGCCTGCTTCTCCCTCTGACCCTCCCCCCTCTCAAGTGCTCTGTCTCTCATTCTCTCTGTCTCAAATAAATAAATAAAATCTTTAAAAAATAAATAAATAAATAAAACTGCGGAAGGCAACAGAAAGATAGGTGACAGATGGAGACCTTCAGGAACCGAGCAAAATGATCCCGAACACCCACAAGGTAAGGAGAAGCGTGTGTCTAAACAGCATGAGATGCCGACAGGCAGGGAAGCAATCCTGGGCACCCTGAAGTAGACCAGCGCGGTGAGGTGATCCTGAAAGGTACCGCAGCGACTGGGCACACGGAGCACTCAGTGTCAGCGGCTGCTGCCTGTTGCACAGACTCTCCCCCCTTCATCAGGCTGTCACCGCCCCCAGGAGGGCAGAGACGACGGGTTTTACCCGCGCCTGCATTCCCAGGACCTGGCACCATACATACAGAGGCTCAGTACACACTTCCAAAGGAATCAGAATGCAACAGGCAATCGTAACTATTGATTCTGCTCTCTCATTATTTTCACGGTTCTCTTTACTGTGGGATGACGTCGGATAATGGGGGAAGCAGGCGGGGACAGAGGATTTGCAGGAGATGCAAAGGCAAACGCCTGTCCTGTGACAGCACTCTTCTCCTCCCGCTCAATTTTGCCGTGAATCTAAGACTTCTCTAAAAAATAAAGTCTATTAAGGGGCGCCTGGGTGGCTCAGCCACTAAGCGTCCCACTTGAGCATAATAGTGTTCATTACTCTAAGTATCACCGCATTACCCCTTACTTCCCGCTCAGACTCTAAGTTTCTCAACCGCGAACTCATGTCCGCTCATCCCACGACACGCTCGGGGTCTTGCGGGAAGGCGGGCCACATACTCATGAACCTGGATAAACGGCTCCTTACTAAAGGGCTGTGACAGCAGCTTCACAGCGATCCCAAGGTCACCAGCCGACCCAAGCGCGGCGACGCCAGAGGCAGCGCTCCGCCGCGCGGAGCCGGAGCAGCCGCCTTCCCGGCAGGGGGCGCTGCAGCCTCCTCCGAAGGCCGCCGCCCGCCTCAGTCCCCGCCCCCCGCTCCGCGGTCACCTGCAGCGGCTGCACTCGGGCCTCCGCTCGGCGGGCTCCACCGGCAGCTCCCACAGCGCCTCCGCGCCCAGGGAAGCCTCCGCCGGCGCTGTGTCGCCCTCCCGCCGCTCCTCGTCGTTAGGAGTCTGGGACCTCGAGGGCCCAGACGGCCGCGCGACGGGGTCCCCGGGTGTTCGCGCCTCTTTCTGCGGCTCCATGGCAGGCGCTCAGGTCCCGCTGTCACATTAAGTCCTCGCTGCCGCCGGGGGGCGCCACACGCTGGAGAAACCGCCTCGCGCCGCCCGGCGTCACGCACGCACGCAGGCCACGTACAGGGGGCGGGTCCCCGAAGCCCAGGCTCGAGGTCCCGCCCCGCAGCGGAATCGGCACGAGCCTATTGGTCGGTGCTCAGTGGGCTGTGAGACTAGAACCGAGAAGAGAAGTGTGGGTTGTCCTGGGGAGCAGGTGGGAACAGGTAAACCTCTCTGGGACAGGAAAAAAAGGAAAACCCTCAGCAGACACCTCAGGGAGCAAACTCGAATGTGCCTTCCTTAATGTCTCCCCTTTAAAAGTGAAAATTAAGTGGAATTCTGCAGTTTCCACCTTTGAGATTTAAACTGGTTGCGTGCATACCGCAGGTGCAGCGCGGATGTGCTTGATCGCTCAAGGCCAGCAAGGGAGAGGTTTGTACGTACTGACAACTGGATTCGCGGCTGGTTAGTATTTCGTATAAATTCTTATCTAGAAAGGCAGGGAGCTGTGTCCTGTGTCTCCTACATCTGGGTAATCCTCGTCGGCATCAAGTATACTATTTTACACTAGACACCAAGATGTTTCTTAAACAAGGTTTTTAAGTTTTCTGAGGCCCCTAAGATCAGGAAGCAATCAGAGGACTGAGATTTTGTGGGTGAGGGGGGAAGAAAGCCATAGAAAGATAACTAGTTAAGAAAAAAAAGATAACTATTTAAAAAAAAAAGAAAGAAAAGAAAGATAACTACTTTGCCCAAGTATTTACAGCTCCTGGATAACAGCAGTATAGCCTGCAGTGTTTTGAAAAGCCAAAATGAAGTCCACCTTAGAATGAAAGCAGAATTAGTATTTGCCCAAAATGGGCACTGATACTTTTCATTTATTAATACTGTATGTTACTTCTACCAGTGTTCAGCATTTAAACAAAAAAATTAAACTTAGTTTTCATCAATTATCTAAGTTTTGCAATCATAATTATTTGATTCCAGAGCCATGAAGGATTAAATAGAAAACAAAGCAGATTCAACACTAACAGTAATAGAGCAGTATTGTATTTCTTAAAGTGCTTATTTCAATATTAGGTTTTCAGTCATCTTAAAACCAAGCTGATGAATAGAATACAGGGCTATTGTTTATAATTATTTTGCATTCTTTTCTGCATTTCTTTCGGAGTACTCTAAGAAAGAGATAGAAAAAACCTGAAAGACCCACCTGGTGATGGATGGGGGATGGGAGAAAAAACTGACACATAGGCCAGCTGAAATTGGGAAATAATGAAAAGCCAGAGACTGTAGAAAGAGAGGTGAATCAGAAAATAAAGAAATATTGGCTGCAGATTTAGGATGGAGAACTAATTCTTTAACTGCCAGAACTAAATTGTCATGTGACAACCGTTAGACACTTTTCTCTACTTTCAAGACATGAAATGTTCTCTTATGTCATTTAAAGTTCCTCCCAACTGTGAGGTATGTGAGGGCAAATCAGTCCTGACAGCCTACTTATATTTGGCTCTCCCTTTAACCCCCCCCAATCAGATTATTGGCTGTACAATTCCAAGTATCCAAAATCCAATCATTATCTCTTCTACTACTTCTGCCTTGGTTCAAGCCCCCATCCTGTCTTGCATAGGATATTGCCATAGACACGTAAGTGGTCTCTTGCTCTATCCTTGCTTTTCTAATAAATCTGTTCTCCCAGAGGTTGACCATAATCAAAGAAAACTCCCATGTAGCAGGGATGCAGCCAGAGTTGGGTGAAGAGAGTCATCCGTCCTCTGGAAAGCAAGAAATTCACCCAATATCCAGGTTTATTAACCCTGACCTTGAGAAGCCCAAAGAGATGTATCACCTACCCAGCAGCTGCTACTTTATGTGAGGTCACCATCCTGGGGTAGACTCAGGTCAGAATAGACGTCAAGGATCCAAAGTCTGAGAAATGTCAAGATATCAAGAAGGGGAGCAAAAGCTCCTTTAAGGTACACTACTGATTTATGAGTGCAAGAATGTTGCAAGATAATCTATTATTATGTTAATTTATATATTGTTTATCTCCCAACTCCTAGAAGGTAACCTTGTTTGCCTCAGGAGAGTGTGAGTGGTAAAAACTGATTAGAGACATCACAATATCAGGCTGTGGGGTTGGGGGTGGGGGGGTTGTTAGGGCTGGTAAGTGCCCTAGGGTAAAAGCAAAAACTGCTACAGGAAAAATTTCTCCTAAGTGGGAGGGGGACAGAGGGCAACCAAAGTCCCACCGCCACTCCCACATGCCTCCCAGGAGATGAGGCAACATCCAGATAGGAGGAATGAGGGAATGACTTCATGCATGCCTAGAGGGAATGAATGGTTTCCAGCCTCATAAAGATCCTGCTGCAACCACCAGAATACTTGGGGCCAAGAAGACAAGAGCAGTGGCATCTCAGTGGTAGCAAATGAGAAAAACTCCAGGGGCCTCCCTGAGGTTTCAACACACGGTATAATCCTTGAGACCTTAAATGTCACTGATAAGGGAAAGAACCTCAGTAATGTCTGGGTCTGGGATTGAATACCATGCCAGGGCAGCAGAATGAAGATCCAACATTGGATAAACTTGGATTTAAGTGAAATAAAGATAGGGTGCCTGGGTGGCCCAGCCAGGTGAGCATCCAACTCTTGATTTCGGCTCAGGGTCATCATCTCAGGGTCTTGGGGTTGAGCCCTTCTATAGGCTCTGGGCTGAACATGGAGCCTGCTTAGGATTCTCTCTCCCTCCTTCTCTCTGCCCCGCCGCTCCTCCCCACTCCTGCGCACTTTAAATAAATAAATAAATAAATAAAGCTGCATTTCCTGCTGTATTCGCTCTCTATTGATGGTGTAACAGATTACCATAAATTTTGTGGCTTATAACAATACACATTTATTATCTTACACATCTGTATGTTAGAAATCTGATAGAGATATCATAGGGCTAAAATCTACATGGTGGAAGGCCGCATATCCTTTGGAGGCTCTAAAGGAGAATCCCTTTCCTTGCTCATCATTCAGGTTATTGGCAGGCTTCGGTTCCTTGTGGTTGTCATTTTCTTCCTGGCTGTTAGCTGAGAGCTGTTCCCAGCTTCTTGAGGTCACCCACATTCTTGGACTTGTAGGAGAGGCAAAAGTTTACCTTTACTAAATGTCCTAGGTTTAGAGAATGAAATCAATCAACCTAAGACAGACCAACAGAAGAAAAGCATACAAATTTATTTAAAAGAAGATTTTCATGGCCAGACAGCCTTCATAAGGGATGAGTACCCAAAGAAGTTGTGAAACCAACTTGCTTTTACATTAGGTTGAACAAAGAGAGGCAACTGTGGAAAAGTGACTCAACTAGGTGGGCAGGCTGAAACAAGATCAGAATTATTTTAACAAGGATAGTTTGTGTAGACTTCCCTTGATCTCAATTTCCTGTCCTTGACGATTAGAATGTATTTACCTTCTGGAATAGAGAGGACATCTTTCATATAGGAATGAATATCTCCTTTTAAGAAAAAGAAGGAAGATCAGTGTATTTCTTGTATTTGCCGTCTTTCAAGCGCCTTTCACTCAAAATAGTCAAAATGCCAAAGTGCCATATGTTTGGGGCAGCGTTTGGGGCAGCATGTTCTGAACTTCTGAGCCAGTAATAGCAGGTTGAGTCCCTGTTATGATTCGAATCTCCCCAGCCCCTTCTTCCATAGTGTTAAAAAGAAAACCACAGGCCCAAAATGGTGTCACTTAGGCCAACTCACCAAACTGGGGCTTCATGCCTAACAGTATTAGGTGACTGTTAGAGCCTCCCCCAGAAATGTAGTCTTACCTGGTCAGTCAGGAATTTTCTGATCAGAACCAATGAAGTCATCTGTCACGTGGACCCTCTCTATCCCCCAATCCACATAAAAGGACCCATTTGTCCCCAAATGAAGATGACCTCACCTAAAATCATTTTTTCTGTTTATGACTTCCTTGCTTCCTTGTCCTGGCTTTAAAAACCTTTCCTTTTCCTCAGCTCTTTGGAGTTCCCATCTACTCACAGGATAGGGGTGCTGCATGATTCATGAATTGATTAATAAAGCCAATTATATCTTCAAATTGACTTAACAGATTGGGTGGCAGCATTAGGATCTGAAGCGAACTTTTTTTTTTTACTTTTTTATTGTTATGTTAATCACCATACATTACATCATTAGTTTTTGATGTAGTGATCCATGATTCATTGTTTGTGCATAACACCCAGTGCTCCATGCAGAATGTGCCCTCCTCAATACCCATCACCAGGCTAACTCATCCCCCCACTCCCCTCCCCTCTAGAACCCTCAGTCTGTTTTTCAGAGTCCATCGTGTCTCATGGTTCGTCTCCACCTCTGATTTCCCCCCCTTCATTCTTCCCCTCCTACTATCTTCTTTTTTGTTTTTCTTAACATATATTGCATTATTTGTTTCAGAGGTACAGATCTGTGATTCAACTGTCTTGCACAATTCACAGCACTCACCATAGCACATACCCTCCCCGGTGTCTATCACCCAGCCAACCCATCCCTCCCACCCACCCCCCACTCCAGCAACCCTCAGTTTGTTTCCTGAGATTAAGAATTCCTCATATCAGTGAGGTCCTATGATACATGTCTTTCTCTGATTGACTTATTTCGCTCAGCATAACACCCTCCAGTTCCATCCACATCACTGCAAATGGCAAGATCTCATTCCTTTTGATGGCTGCATAATATTCCATTGTATATATATACCACAGCTTCTTTATCCATTCATCTGTCGATGGACATCTTGGCTCTTTCCACAGTTTGGCTATTGTGGACATTGCTGCTGAAGCGAACTTCTAATAGCATTCAGGGAAACGAGAAACAGGCATGGGGCCTGTGACCCTTTCTGAACTCACTGTCTTTCTCGCCATTTCCAAGGGCCCTTGGTGAGTCCCTCTTGGTTGGAGTTTCACTCTGCATTCAAGCTCCTAATCAGCTTTCCATTCCACTTAATGGGTCAGTCTAGACTGATGGGAGGTTCCAATAGAACACCAGTCTCTCCACCCTGGTTCATTCTGCAGTTCCACATTGGAGTCCCTTC